CTTTCTTTCTTTTTGGTTGGTTTTATTATGAGGGTTTTGCTTTCTCGTTTTGTTGGTACTCTGTTTGGTTGCTAAGAAAATGTGAGGAAAAGGAAAAATCAAGATTTTGATTCTTTGGCATACATTTGCCTTGAAAACACAAATCCAGTTTCACTTTGCAGTTCCAACCACTGCATAAGATCGAATTTTCATTTTTTTCATTTCAGAGCTACCAAGCAGAGATTTTGTATAATTGCTTCTTTTAAAAAAAAAAAAAAATAATTAATTTTAAAAAATTTCTTTCTGAAGTTTCCCAATTTCTTTGTTTGTTGATTTCCAGAAGGTTTCAAGCTCAGCTGTTATTTCTGAAGTTCCTCCACTTGGTGATAAAATCCAGAGGTAACAAGAAGATCCCATGAACCCTTGTATTCACGGTACAATATAATTAAACGTTCACAGAACTTAACTTATTTTCTTTTCTAATTTAGAGATGTGAAATTGAAGAGAAGAGGGCTAACTCAGTCTTCAATTTACCCGATTAATAATTCAAGAGTCAAGGAAGACAGCGAAAATCAGAACCCCAACCTATCAACTCTTCCAATTAACCAAGCAAAGGCCATGAAGGCAACCATCAAATCAAGCGCAGAGAAGAAGCAGCCAATTGAAAGCACACCGCAGAATAGTGAGGTGCTTCCGAGGCTGAGAAGCACGCTGTCAGCGAGGAATTTATTTGCAGGGCGAGATATTCTGAATCAGCTTACAGACTTCTGCAGCGAATTGAAGAGAATGGCAATGAGAGCGAGGGAGAAAGAGGATGTGGAGGGGTTGGATGTAAGGAAAAGCCTAGGGGGTTTGAAGGAAGAAGAGGTGGTGAAGAAGGAGGAGTGTAATGGTGAGGTTTTGGGTGAGTTGAATGGGAGGCAAACTGAGAGGATGCCATTGCTTGAGGTGAGTAAAGGGAAAACCAGGAGGCAAACAGAGAGAATGCCATTCCTTGAGGTGGGTAAAGGGAAAACTCAGAGGCAAACAGAGAACATGCCATTGCTTGAGGTGAAAACTGAAGGAATGGAGGGGAGCATTATCAAGGAGAAGCAGAGGAGGAACAAGTAAGTTTATTCTTCCTCTATTTTCTGTCTCTAATGTACATGCATTTGTTTATGATGCACGTCTCTATATTTACGTGTCTCTGTATATGCAAGTATGGAGAGACCTACACTTGCATACTGTTCTGCGAATATGGTCACTTTCGGTTGTGATGGTAGAAACAGTTGAGGCAGTTGATATATGATCACCTAATATGGTTGATATGGAGGAAAGAAATGCTTTTGAAATGTTGAAACACCTAGGTTAGGACCATCTAATTTCAAGTAATTGATTGCTAAGAGCAGGCCATGACATTGATGCAAAATGGAAGGATCTTCTTGCACTAACTTTTAGGGCATGATACTTCATTTAGGAATAGGAGTCTCAGTCTGTCAGTTTCCCCCTTGCGATGTTGTTAATTGTACTTTGTTATACAATTCATTTATACTAGTAGAGATGCACAAGGATTCTTTTTGTTATAACTAGGCTGGAAGTTGACTAGTTGGCTAGTCATATGACGAGAACTGTCAGACTGATATGCAAAGATAACAATCCAATTACTGTACAAACTTGCTGGTAGTCATTGTAATTTTATGATTAAACTTTCTGATGACATTGATCTATCTAAGGGGTCCTTGAATGCCATTGATATATGTTTTTTTTCCTAAACTTGCTCGTTTGATGGTTGAAAGGATTGTTAACTTTTGATGACCACCTCATGCAGAAGAATTGACGAGACAGAGAACATCCCAATCTCTCTGAATTTAGAGAACGTAAAACGCAAAGGAGGGGAGAGCTTGTTGCAAATCCGAACCAACCCTCCCTCTCCTCAATGCTTTTCTGCCCCGAGGCCCCCAAGCAAACTGACACCTTCACAAGCTTCCAAGTCCAAGCTGATGGTATGTAGTCCCTCTACTTCTTCATATTATATTCTTTTTGTTTTACCAAGATCAGTGGCATGAAGAATTAAACTATGGTTCTGATTCTTGCTCTAACAATGATTTACAAAAGTTGGTGGGGAAGGAAATACAGGACTGAAAATTTACATGTAAGGGTTGTAAGTTAGTTGATGATAATCTCTTTTTATGGCAACAACAAAATGCTAAATGACCCGGTGAAGAAATAAAATAGCACCCATATATATATTTACTGCCCCAACAAAACCTGAATAAAGCTAGTCCAAGTAATATAAGCTTGCCCTTTGATCTAGTCAAGCCAATCTCTAACATGGACTGAGATATCCGTATCTTCTTTTCTGCAAAAGCTTGGAAACTGATCCTTGAATGCGCACCATTTCAACTTTATAGCTTTGTGGTAATCAAAACCCTAGCTCTTTTTAGCATAGCTATCTTAGTTGAAATGATGAAACTAAAATTTCAATCATGGACACTGGAACAGCACATAAATCAATCTAGTAATCACCTGTTCTGCATCCTTCCTTCTTTAAAGCTCAGAAGATATGAATATGATTTTGGCCATTACATTACGCCTGCATAATGATCCTCTTATATTTGCCCCTCACCCTGGCCTGTTTTGTTAATTTTATGCATAACAACCATGCTTCATATACTTGTAAATTTATGCATTACCTTATTAATTTACTTGTGATTTTTTAATTGTATTTGGGATTTGACTTGATTTTCTGCTTGAACTAAGATCACCTCATGGAGGAGACTTATGTGCTGGCTTAGATATAAATCAATCTGTCAGTTTTCCTAATTGACTACTTATATTGAATGAGCAGGAAAGGGGAATCCTTGCAGACGCAGAGCAAAACAATAAAGTGACCAAGGAGGATTCCACAGAGAAAGGGAAAACTGCTTGCATTGTTGATGGAAGAGAAGCGAGAACCATGGACGTTTTTTGGTTTCTAAAACCTTGCACAACGCTATCCAACTAAAAACGGACAACATTGAGCAAGAATTTGACGCTCATTATTCTTTAATCTCTTTGCTTTGTTACGATTCATTGATTCTTTTTCCATTATAGAGTATAGTTTCGGTTTGTTCTTGATTAATGTGGAGTTGATAAATAAAACTGTAATGTACCAACCACATAATAACTGTACTGGGCTCAGTCAGTTCCAATATGAATAAAATTTCAATTTTTGCCATCGAGACCTGTTTCTGTTGAGTTTATGGATTTCATGTACCGTAGGCCTTCAGTTATATGGCTTACTTCTAATTTGATACATGTATTTTATGGACATGTAGTTTATGGACTTGTAGAGGAGAAATTCTTTGGTCTGGCCGTGGAAAATGTCTGCCGTTCATTCACCCTCATGACTAAGTGGGGTTTCCATGTACCCTACTAAAGGGGTCCACTTAGTTGTGACTCGTGAGAGTGGGTGAATGACTGACTTAATCCCACTGTTGGACCAAAAAATTTATCCTTACAAGAGGCTGCCCATGTGTTGAATTCGTCTTAAAGATTAACGAGGTTAGCAGCTGCCATGTAACTGTTTAGTGTAAGCGCATCTACAATGGGCTCCTTAAACCACATCCTTAGACAAATTTTAGAGAAGAATTGTAAAAATGCAGCTCCAACCACGCTCTCTATCCACCTCATAAAATAGAGAGTCCTCTAAGAGCTCCTAAATTTGAGGAGAGAGAAAGAATTCTTAGTGGCTCCCTATAATTTAATGCTGCTTTATTTAATAAGTATTTCAAACATTTATTTAATACTAACTATTTTTTTTTTAATACAGATGAACTAATTAAAAAAGAGTTATAGCATTTATGACTCTCCAAATTAAGGAGTATGGTTAGAGTTGAAATTTTTTAAAGAGCTCCTAAAATAGATTTCTTATGTTTTTAGCCAAATTTTAGCTAAGAAATAGAAAGTATCATTGTGGATGCTCTAAGATATATAAAATTCATTGGTTCCAATCAAATAGGTCAAGTCAACGGTTACTTGACAATGAGTTACAATTCTTTAACATTTTATTTTATTTAAAAAAACAAAAAAACAAAAGGAGGTTCTGGTTTTAAGCCGCATGGCATGGCCAACGTTTCAAGAATCATAGGGGGTTACTTGTTAAAGGTTCCCTTTCGTTTTGTCTTTTGTCATTCAATTTTAGCATACAAGTTAATTTCTTAGGCGTGCCAATTTCAGATGGGAACCAAAAACCAACAATGACAAACCGCCAAACCTTCGCCAACCTAATCCGCATACAAATCAAAACAAAAAGCCACCTCACAACCCTTTTTTGTTTGTTTTGGCCTTGCCTGCAAGCCTACAATTGGAGGTTACAAATGAGAACATTTATTTTGTATTCATCTGCCGCATTTTATACCTTTCATATCTATCTATTTATCTGTTAAAATCATTCTCATACTTATAGCCATAATCTTCACTCTTTTTTCTTTCTTCTTATGCTATAATCAGAAGATTGGGTAAGATTACAGCTCAAAATCCCACATTAATTCTCAAAGAAAACCATGAGCCATCACATATGTACCCTTATCCTCAACTTGATTCGTAAGGGTTTACAGAAGTCGAACTCTTATTGTAAATGTCGGTTAAGTATTTTATCACTCGAGTTCTAGTCCAACCCTAAATGCAAGTGTCGGATAACATAAGTCACCACTGTTATATTTGTTACATGTTTTCTAAGATTATTTATACGTAATTAGCTTGTAACTCAAGTGATTAAGAGCAATTACTCATCTATTCGAGATTCGGCATTCGAGTTCTTACTTCCCTAATCACAAGTACGAGCCAACCAACTAGCTCTTAGCCCTTGTGATTTCTTTTTCTACGAATGTTGGAACATGAACTAAGTTTGAATCTTTCCTTCTGTTTATAAACATAAAAATGAAAAGCCATATATGCCTGCCCATGACAACTCAGATATAGACCCAAAAAACCCAGATTGAAAAATCTAACCAACAACGAAAAAGAAAGCGATCAAAGCAATAAACATATCACCTCTGCAATGGCATGAAAACATTCTCATGAAATTACAAGACAAATTTTACAACATAAACAGATCATCCGGCTGGCAAAGTAACAACACCACCACAAACACCAAAAACCAACTCTTCATCACACCTTATTTACCACAGCAAAAAGAAATTCAAAAACAAAAACAAAAACAAAAAGCTAAAACAAGATTCAGAAGTTTGTTTGTGGGATGTAACCAATTACATGGTACCAGTGAAATCCATTGAAAAGTCATGATGATCTATGATATATGTGTATATCTACCTTGTGCTGCAAAGTAAACAATCCAAGATCCTAACCCAAAGATGGCGTACACGTGGGTAGACCCTATTGGTGTATGATCTTGACTCGGATAAGAGATCCTCCATGGTCTCTACAAAGGGGTTTAGGCTTCTGAGTGGTGGAACATACAGAGTCAGTGGCACTGCAGAGAAGGCCACTGTGAAGAACAGCTGCAACATGATCATTTACCAAAACTCCAAATTGGATATTCAAGATTGGATTTTGATGGAAACCCAAATGAGTTTAAAGGGTGTTGAAGATTGATATGCAAAGAAGTATAAAGTTTGGATTTGGATTTGAAGAGAAGGAGAGGAGGAGGTTCTGGGAATTCAAAGAAGAAGGTAGAGAGAGAGTGAGAGAGACGGAAATGATGAATGTGTGAGTCTCTCCGTCTGACTGGTGGTTGGGGTTGTGGGGCTGACTTTGTTGTGTTGAGTGTGAGTTTTTGGCTCCTCGAGGTTTCCAGCTCGCTGTCTCTGTGCAGCCCCTTAATTATTCCTTGGCCCGCGTTTATAATAGCAAGTCGAGAAAAATAACTATTTGCGTAATCTAGTTTTTTTCTTTTCCTTTTGCCCTTTTTCTCTTTCTATTTACCAAGAATTTTTATACATCTGACATGAGAATCCATATTTTTACTTTATACAATTTTAATATCACGAATCTTTTATCATTACGTAATCCTCACCATCGAGCTTCGAATACTAACAAACTAACAAATTTTAATAAATAAATTTTCAACAACATAGTTAATACGTTAAATAGCAAAAGTAAAAAGCTCAAAAAATGCAATACTAAAGTTGATAAGAGGCGCACAAAAAACTACCAAACTTATATCACTAACATTAAGCGTCATTTTAAACCAAGCCCACAACTCAGAAACGCTTCTTCTTCCCTGTCTCTCCTCAATCTGGGGTGTTATTGGACTCTTATAAAGGGTTTTCTTTGCGATTAGGTTTTATTTCTATATTTAGTTTGATTATTCTAAGAAATTAATTAGCTTTATTAATGCATTTATTGACTAAGAAACATTCTATAATCTGTCTCTCAACTAACAAAAGAAAGAAGAAAGGAAAAACATGGAGAGAAGCTCTTGCTTGTAAGTGCTAGGTTAGGTTATGCCCCCAATAAGATAAGACTGTGGGTTGAGGATGTTGGGTTGTACCAGCCCACTTCCAATCCAGCCCCTCTGTAATTTTTTCTTATTTTTCAATGAATTTAATTTTCGACAAAATAGAAAGGAAAAAAAAACACACTTCGTGCAAATTTGAAAGCATAACACACGCACCAAATTAATTGGAGAGCAATTTGCTTTCGAAGTCGGTTTTGTGAATCTGGACGCAAGCAATTAAGCATAATATAAAAAAGGCTGCAATCTGAAGCACCAAAGTATCCATCCATGTGTCCTTTTGTGGTTCAAAGGCTAGAAATGCAAACTATTGGGAGACAATTGTCGTTTTATGGGCCGCGAAAGCAAATGCCTTTTGTTGGTAACAAAAAGCAAATGCCTTTCAAGGAAGCACCGACAATGCATTTCATACATATTCATATTTGGATAATGTTCAAAATTCCCCATAAAGTGTTAGGGAGTTTACCATTTTTACTTCCGACAATACTGAATCAACATATGTTTCCTTTTAATATAAATGATATCGAGGAGACGGGATTCGAACCTAAAACTTTAGTTGCATGGCAATTATACACTTAATTACCTTTTGATTTGGGATAAAATAATGCATAAATTATCAATAAACAAAGTCAGACGGACTGGGTATTATAATTTAATATAAAATACTTTTTTTTACTACACATGTCATGTCACACTAGGGCAAGATGAGAATCTCGAGTAAATCGAATTGAACTAAATTGATAACGTTTTGTTGGTTACAGTTGAGAAAATCATTACATGACATAGTCGGTATGGTTAATGATTTAGGTTCTAAACTGGACCTTACCCTCCCTTACCAATAACATTACTTACAAAAGAGTTCATTATACAATTGCCCTTATTTTTTAGAGGTTGTTCAACTTTGGTTCTAGATATTTTTTTTTTTCGTCACAATGTGGTCTCTGAAATTGTAAAAATGTACTTAATAAGGACAACACTATAAAATTTGACACAGTTAGGGGGTAAGCGTTATTCAATTCGATAGTGTTGTAGGTTAAAACCAACCACCACACCCAACTACGTTTTAAATGAAGCATCTAATTCGAAAAATGAGCCGTCTCTCTAAGGGAGATGTCAAATACCAAACATCAAATTAAAATTTGATGGCTGATGTGGCAATTTGACATCTTGCCATGCTCTACACTTCACCCGATATGTCAAATTAAATTATTATTTTATTACATTTTAGTGTTGATTAATTTTTAATTAAAAATAAAATAAAATAAAAAATAATAAAATATTCATTTGACATCTTGCTTTTGGAATGTCAAAAATAACATCTCAACCTCTAGCTTTCATTCCACATCAACTTTGACATATCGGTTGGAGTGATGTGAAATGTCAATTTTAGCTATTAAATGTCTATGTAGCACGTTTGACATATCAGTTGGAGATGCTCTTAGCTTCTACCAACTAGAGAGAGATGAAAGACAAAGAGAGGGTTGGAGGTTGTGGGTATGGAATGAGATGGATTAGGGTTCTTAGATGTTTCACAAACCAAGATAACATTGAAACGACCACTCAAATCAAGACGCAAAAAGTATTAGTTAAATCTTGTTATTTGGTAAGGCAAGTTGCAGTTGATTTTCTTATGTGAAAACCAATTTTTTCGATTCTCTGTTTTGGTTTGCTAAATAACATACAACACCAAATCGAGATTATACCTTTCAAATGTAATGATTGAACCAAACTGCTCATACTAGTTTGGTTTGAATGGTTTTTGTTTGTGCAATTTTTTGCTCACCCGAATCCAAACAGAAAGAAAGGCTTTTTTTAAAATCACAAATGGTGTCTGAGGTTTGTGAAATTATCACATTTCGTTCTTAACTTTTTTCTTTTTTTGGTGACACTAATGGTGCTTAAGGTTATTCTCCACACATGGTCTCTATCGTTAGCTTCCGTCAAATATTCTGTTAAATTACGAACGTGACATATTTGGGGAGCCCACACATTCAATGATACAGAGCCACTTGGCATTAAATATAATATAATATATTTTTAATTTTTAATTTTTTTAAGTTTTAAAAATATTATATTATACTTAAAGCCACATAACTCTATACCATTGGATGTGTGGGATCCACACATGTGTCACATCAGCACTTAAAAAAAATATTTGACACAAACTAACGATAGAGGCCATTTTTATGTGTGAAGGATAACCTTATTATCAGTGTCACAAAAAATCGTTAAAAAGAAAGATGATAATTTCGCAAAAGAAAAGAAGGGAACTACGTTTGTAATACAACAATAATTTAGTGGTTTGACCTAACCTAATCCGCTTTTTTTTTTTTATGGCGCTGCCCAACAAAAAAACAAGGGCAATGATTTCCCCACTCCTATTTTATCCACTTAACGAGTGTAAGTGGATAAAATAAGAGAAAAAGGAGTGAGGAAATCACCACTCAAAAACAATTGAACTGAAATGGCGCACTTTTATTACCCCTCTAAAATTCGTAAGATTTTCTCGTCTCTTCAGAGTCCAGTCCACTGTCCATTGTGCCAACCAAGAAAAAAGTTCACTTTTCAGACCTCCAATTTTCCTGCCCACTTTCCGAGAAAATGCGGAAGAAACGCCGCGTTCCGGAGGTCCTTCGCCGGCTATTCCATAACCGGCCGCGCACATTGGCCGACGCCATCACCTCCTTACTCCCTCCTCATTCCTCGTCGTCAGTTCCTGACCACTGTCGTTTTTGCAAGGGCCGCCGTTGCCTCAGCTGCAGCGGGCCCAACGGCATGTCGTTCATTCTCCGACCCAACGACCCCTCCGATTACCGCAACCTCCTCAACCACTGCTACGTCGTCTGGGAACGCGCCCCTACGCTCGCTCACTTTTCCCCCGACTCTCATTGGTCCCAAATTGAGGTACTCGTAGTCATACACATGAATATATATTTGGTTCCTTGTGTTGTTTTTGTGTAAAAATTGCGTTTTACTGTGTTCAGATTGTGAGAGCGGTGATTGAAGTGATGATGCTTGAGCAACCTCTGTCTTCCAATGTGATATGTACTGGTTATGATAAGGTAAGTACTCTTTTTTTCTTTATGTATATTTTGAATTTATGGAATTTCATTATAGACATACAAAATATAATGTTTGTTTTTTTTATTGTTTGTATTTGGCAGTGTAATCAGTCAAGCCCCATTGTGGAGCTTCTAAATTCTTCGGCTTGGCGTCTTCTATTAGAAAGGGTATGTTAGTGTTACACATCGATTACTTGTGCTTAATGATGCAATTTAGTTTTATGTTCGGATTTTGAAATTTGATTATGGTGAAAATTTTGTATGGCAGGTTGGGGATGGTATTATGGTTTATTTACTAAGAAATGCGTCTATATTTTTGCCAATTCAGCGTAAGAAACATGAGCAGGTCACAGGTATTCCTATCAGTAACTTGTGTCCGAAGAAGTTGAAGCCTGCACCGCAGGCACTACGTCAACAGTCATTGCAAAATCCAAGTGGTAATCATAAGTTTATAATGTAATGTACTGTGTTTTGAAGTACTGAGAAGACGTATGCATATCTTCAATTTTCTTGAGAAAATCATGATTCATATACGTGCAGTCACGCTTTGTGTTTAGGAGATAATATGATCAATTTTTTTAGCATTTCATTGTGTTTTGAGCATGTATATGTGGCATTTCCTTTTCTCTCTTGATCAACGCAGGGGATTGGATTGTTCCATTTTTCAAATGATATATTGGGTACTAGACATATTAAACTGTTAGCGCAAGAAGTCAATAGCTTACAATTCCAGACACATAAGGAATGGAGAATATAAGATAAATATCCATTCTTCAGAGATGCAAAATATGGCTAGAATTGTAAATAACATGTTACTAATTGATCATGGTTCTTAGTTATGCCCTCAGCATAATTGCAGGATTTAGGGAATTTACAATGCCTGATCTTTCTTGGTCTGCTCTTACTCAGTGTGTTTCTACATCCATGTTGATTTATAATGTGTTTTCATGGAGCCACTTCTTTTCTTATTATCTCTCCAGGTCACTGATTTATGATTTTTAAGCTTTTTGTTCTTCTTATGTTGTTTTACTTGCTCATATCTAGAATTACCCCTTAAAGGATGATCGAACTGCAACTTTATCTCAGCCAATGTTGAAGAGACAGCAGCTCGGTAGTTCTTTCAGCAATGATGAAACATTCATTTCTGTTACCTGCAATGGCTGTTGCAGTGATATTGGATTTGATAGGAATAAGCATGGCCATACTGAAGCAGCTATGGAAA